GTAGACCCGCAAATGAATTCACACAACGCAATCAATCATTTTATACATTTCGGTCAACAGCTAATGATCATTCTTTTCTATGAATCTCGTTTCACTGCACCCTTCAAGAAACTATAGGAATCCATTCTATAAACAGAATTGTCAAAACTTATGATTAATCTTTGGACAATGCAATCAAAACTTCTACAGATGTCAATCGCCAGCGTATGATTCAATCTTTTCAGGATCTTGGATCCCTGCACATTGTATCCCTAGTTGAATTCCAATCCTATGAACCATAAAAACAGAGATCCCAACTTATGATCGATTTTTGGACTCGGGAGGACAATGCAACAAAAAAAGTCTACAATATTCCCACTCATAAATCCCCAAGAAAATGCAAGAACACCTAACTGTACCTAAACCTACGAACCAAGAAACAGAAAATGCCAACCTCAAAGGCACCTTTTGGAGCTGTCACATGAAACAACGTGCACAGATTGAATCCCTAACGCATCCGCTGAGCGGAAGGCAGCAGCGATGTTTCCAATATCAGAGAGACCTTCGACCACAAGACACACGGAGAAGCTTCGATTCTCCACCACACGCCTAAACCTATCTAACCTCTCCTCCATCATGTGAGGGCTCACCGCCTCCAACACCTCACGGCTACTAAGGTGCCCCTCACCACAACTGAACCTGTCCTTGTAAGGAAACCATGATCCTCTACATTCACCCTCACCGTCGCTTGAGGTGCACCTCCGCTCCATCTTCATCATGCTAAATGTATCACCACGATTGGTTGTTAGCAATTCCTTGACAGTGTTCTTTGGCGAATCCTCCGTGAAGCTCTCCAGTGACAAAGCTGCAGCTCCATGAACAGTGCAGCACCGAGCTGTTCCGATGCCTGTTAGTTTAAAAATCGTAAAAACATCAGTTTTAATCGAATTTAATGAAATCGAACTAATAAATTAAGCAGATTCAAACAGAACTGGATCATTTACAGGGGAAAAGCGAGAAACTTCTAATTCAGATAACGAAAAAATCAAAACTTTAAAAATGTTCTTCGATGAATAGAAGAATGTTCAAAGCCTATACAGACGAAAACCATTAAAAACGGACATATATGCA